TATTTATTTTGTAAAATATGTTGCCATACTCCTAATAACAAAATTATTATATTTAAATTTACATGTGTACGTTACTTTATTTAACGCTGTTTCGTCCCAGGTTAAAGTTGTCTTTTTGACATTGTTCTACATCTTTTTTTATTAATATTGTATTTATATTGTGTCATAGATCAAACTTATTCGTTCAGTGTATGTTTACTTTGTTTTTGTTTATATGTCTTTTTGATCGAGGTAACCCATTTCAATTGATATTTTATAGTGTGTCTTTTTATGTTGTAATGTTACACTACTGTTTCAGGTTAGGGTGAAGGTTGGTGCCTGTTAAATCGTTTAAACCCGCTGCATTTGTATGCACCTGTCCTAAGTCAGGAGCCTGTTGTTCAGTGCTTGTCGTTTGTTGGCGTGGTTCAAGTGTTTCTCGTTTCTCGTTTTTTATAAAGATTAGACCGTTGGTTTTCCTGTTTGAATTGTTTTACACTAGTCATTTTGGGCCCCTTTATAGCTTGCTGTTCGGTGTGTACCAAGGCTCCGTGTTGAAAGCCGTATTTTAACCTTTAATTGTTTACTTTTTACACATTGTGACTTGGACGGAGAGTTGTCTCATTGGCACTCATACCACATCTTATTTATATGTAAAAAGGTGATACATGATTCAGGATATACCTGGTTTCTATGAAGTTAAAATTAAGGTAAAATATTTAGAAAGCTGTGAAAATTGCTAAATTTGGTTGAATAGATAGGGATTTTGGGTTACACGCCATTATTCCGACAGCCCATTAGTCCGACAGCTCATTAGTCCGACAGCCCATTGGTCCGACACTTAGAAATAAATATTGCGCGGTATCAGGGTATATAAAAATTATGTCTGTCTGTATTATAACGTATATGCTATTGCTTTTGTACAGAAATAATTACGATATATTATATAGGTAGTTCGAATACTTTTTATATTCGTAATTCGAAATACGTATATACGTAATTTAAATTTGTGTATATTTATTTCTTATATCTATTTTATTTCAATTTTTCATAATATTATTGAAAAGTGAGATATTCGTTTTTCGTCCGCTTATCGGCGATGTCCGCAATAAGGCGAATTTCCCCTAGCGGTATATTATTCAGTTATGCATTTTCGCGCCTCTACAGAAATCGTTTATGTATTTACAGAATTCAAAAAAGCGGATATACATGTATACAGAGCTATTTCCGTATGGATAGACTTCGAATTCCGTATATACGGAATTATGACGTAACAATTCTTTGTATACGCAAATACAGACAATACAGAATTTTAATTGTATGTATATATGCAGAAATCGAATTATGTTATAAAGGGAATTGTTCGTACAGATTCTCATCAAACTATTTTCAACAAAGTAGGCAGGATCAGAATATAATTTGCTTAATAAAATACAGAATCTATTCTGTTTATTGTATATTGTGTGGTTCCAATATGGCCAAATCCGACCCGCCACCGTATGGATTAGATGGGTGACTCTGCGTCTCATTTAAAACAACCTACGACTAAACAATATCTTAAATATGCTTAAAAGTGAGGCAAACTGATGCATTTTTTAACGCGACTTATGGGTGGTATTCTACTTGGGCCCCGTATTGTGATGTATTAACAAACACTGTACATTTTACAAGATATTGTCAGTAATAGTAGTACATGTATCTATTTTCTTCAATATTCGCATTTTGAAATTGACATTCAGCATCACACGCTTATTAAGAGACATTGGCGCCAGTTTACTCCAAAATAAAAATAAAAAATCTATACATAAGTGTTATGCACAGTCAGTTACATGATTTTTTTAGTTGTTATTGGCTTTGAACTATAGCTGTCAATAACTGCGAGTACTCTTAGATCTGTACTTTGTGTTTTTGTTGTTATGAGGGATGTATAAATTCCCTGCCACGTCCGGTCTGTAATTTTGTTAGATGTTTTATCTGCTTTGTATCGATCTGATGAGTTAAGCCCTTTTCAACTGATTTTTATAGTTTGTTCTTATGTTGTACTGTTACACCACTGTCCCAGGTTTGGGGAGGATTGGCGCCTTAAAACATGTTTAACCCCGCCACATTCTGTATGTGCCTATCCCAAGTCAGGAGCCTGTAGTTCAGTGGTTGTCGTTGGTAAATGTCTGTCATATTTGTTTTTCGTAAATTGTTTTGTTATAAATTAGGCCTTTAGTTTTTTCAATTGAATTGTTTCATATTTTTTATGTCGGGACCTTTTATAGCCGACTATACGGTACGGGTTTTTCTCATTGTTGAAGGCCGTACGGTTGCCTATGATTGCTTACATCGACTTTATTGGAACTTTGGTGGATAGTTGTCTCATTGGCAAGGATACCACATATCCTTACTTTCATATTACACAAGAACAAACAATAGACACTTGAAACTAGTTAAACCAACATATATATATATTGATCTCCATTGGATTTTGTTTTGTTATGATTGTTTTTCACCAAAATATAAAAATGAAAAAGAACCCCATTGTGATACATACAGTTATGCATTAAGAATAATTACCCGTGGTTGTGGAGGCTCCGTTTACATGTTTTCAATAAAAGAATATACGCTGAGCTTACGGCAAATTACCCTGTTTCTCCTATTTTCTTGTTTTCATAAAAAATATAACATTTCCGCGACAAAATTAAATAAAACTTAGTTGAGTGATACAAGGGGTGGAAAGTGTTACGATCAAAGAGGGCGGGTCGGGTTATCCAACTCTTATATATTTATTTATGTAGTTAATATAGTGGTAAAACCTCACTCCCTTAATACGAAAGAAGGGAAACCGTAGATCTAGTAAAAAGAAGGTAAATTAAGAGACAAAAACAAAACCGGGGACTAGAACAGCACAGAATGTAAAGACAGATAAAATACCCGGACCCGTAAAACGAAAAGGGGGGACGAGGATAAGGACACCGCAGTTGCAATATGCATGTGTATCAACTCCAAGGCACTAAGACAAATATCCCTCATGAGAAAAATAATCGGAATCTAAACGGACAACCAAAAATATTATCGAGAACATAGTTGGTCTTTTGGAGAAAATTAACCCATACACTTATGACAGATGCAATGTCGGAATAATGAGCTGTCGGAATAATGGGATGTCGGAGTAATGGGCTGTCGGAATAATGGGATGTCGGAATAATGGGCTGTCGGAATAATGGGAGGTCGGAATAATGGTTGTCGGGTTAACGGGATGTCACCGGATTTTGAATAGGTGATTGACACCTTTACGCCCGTCTGACGGTGTGCAAATTACTCGTTCACTAGTACATGCGTTGTGTTATTGGTACCACTGAGCGTTACACGACGTTCCCACTTAAGGGCATACGATACAGTTTCGATCCCACGGTGAATTTTTGACGAAAATTTGCATACAAGCTATTTTTCACCTAAGCAATTCAAATATGTAATAAAAGATATACCTTCATGTACTACTTTAAGAGATAAATGGGGTCGAAATTTTAAACATTTAATCAAAATTTCGTTGTTTTTATTTTTTGTGGACATTGCTATCCTTTGGATAGACATACCTAACTTTTTTGTTTCAAAAGATAAACACAAGCGAATTTTTTGTAAAAACATTTGGAAAATCTTCTTTACATAAGTATGCTCTAAAGTTGTTTAACAATTCTTTGGAAATAATTAATTTGTATCAAAGTTTCAGGATTTTAGAAAAAAAACGGCATGTTTTGCTGTATATTTATCTAATTTAAAAAAAAATCGATGACTTTTCATAAAAATTGGTATAGGGGAGAATGGGGTAAGTGGACACATTAAGCGTATACACACGTTTCAGCTCGCTGGGGCATAGATAATATTTTCCACCTGCGTTCCAATAAATTCAGTGTAGACCTTTCTTCATATTTGTAGGCATTTTTTTCATTTCCTATCACGCGCTTGTTAGAGAATGACTTACCCCATGTAATTGGTCATATATGAGTAAGTGTAAAAGAATTGTTCTCAGTCCATTTTCTTGGATTAATCGCCTCGATTCCACCTTTTATTCCTACCTCCGATCTCTGTGAGATTGATTGATCATAAAAAAAAATTTATTTGCGTCCAACTTCCGACTGCCAACTGCATGATGCTAATATTGACCAAAATCTTAGCTTTCAATACAGCATGTTACTTCTTATGCATTCAGTGTCTATCTTTCCGTTTCAGAAAGGGTCTGCAAATTTAGCAAATGGGGGCCAATTATGCCATGTAAACCACTGATGTAAACTGTAAATTAAGTCCGCTCATGACGCTGAGAATCATCATGATTATTTTGCTTTCATATTTTTGTCATTGTCGATTTTTTTGGAAGGGTATGTGTGGGCTGGATTTTCGAATATTGTAGATTTTGGTGTTGGAATATTTTTTTTTGGTTTTGGATGGAAATTTAAGTCATGGTTGTTTATGTTTTTTGTAACTTCTTAAAATACCCCGATGGGAACAATGATTCTAGTCACGATTACTGCCATCTTAAATCGACCCAAACTCTTCCCTATGTTTAATGGTATGCCATTCTGTTTTGTTGAACTTGTTCTTGTCCTGATTATGCATGGCACGTTTGTAACTAGATGTCAATCAATCAATCAATTGACCAATCAATCAATCATGCAAATACATGTATGTATAGTTACAAGGGGGAATTCAAAGCCTATTGTTTGGTTTGGGGTATGACCTGGCTGCTTACCCTTCTGGAGCACCTGAAGTCGCCTAAGTTTTTTCGGGCCCGTGTTTCTCATTTGTTTTTAGTTTTCGATGTTATATGTTGTTGTTTGTCCTTGTGTGTCTTGTCTTATTTGTTCCCGGGTTTGTCTTGTCTTATTTGTTCCCGGGTTTGTCTGTTGTCCATGGATTGCCCTTTTTTTGGATAGCGCTTCGGTTGTCAACACTTCTTTTTATGAGTGTTTTGATTTGGTAAATCTCTTATAGTCAATGATATTAAGAGGATATAACGTATTTAATGATAGTCCAGCAAACTATTGACAGCACAACCCACTATAATAACTGGTCACACTTTGAAACATGTCAATGTTTGTTACACACGAAGTGTGAAAGTTCATGCCCAAACTTTCCAGTACACGACTCATGATACCAATCGCTACATCTCGTACATTTAATCCAGTCTTCATCGTCAGAGTCGTCATCCATGTAGTTCCCGTTACAATAAGTACAGCAGGAGTCAGACTGATCTTTAGCCAATGACCTGTCATTCTCTTTTTTTTTTTGGCCAAACGCTTCTGTGTGTTCTTCTTTGCCTTACTGCTCTTCTTCAATGTTTGTTCAAGTTCTCTCGTCTTCTTCTTTTCCTCCTTCTCTCTTTTCCTTTGATCTTTTCCCTCTTGAACTCTGTTTTTCTATTCTTCTTTTCGTTTCAGTTCATCTAAAAATTCTCTTTCTGTCAGACATCTAGCCTCAGTTACTCGTCTGGTCTTTTTCTCCGTTCTTTCTTTGACGACTTTAGGGGTTCTTAGAATTTCCCTCAAATAGTTTCCTTCAGATGATGTTGTTGGAACTTGCAGTGACACGGCAGAGACAGGTTGCTCTTCAATTGCGGTTGCAGTTACTCGCGACTGGTTATGCTCATTGTGATCCTCATTGCCATTCTCTGTTGATGCTTCAACCTCAACTTCGACCACAGACGTCTTTGATGGTCCATATGCCTCTATTAGGATAGCATTCGGTTTAAATGGAAATATCCCAGTAACTCTGAAGCCACTGAATATATTGACTAGATTCATTTTTTCATTAAAGGCTTGCTTGAATAAGCCACAAAAATCGTAGCGTGTGAATATTCTTCCTGTATTCTGCCTAAGAAATGCCTCACAGCATAGATTGTACGACTTTTTCAGCGGTCCAAATACGCTTCTATCGAGTGGCTGTGTCCAGTGCGTAGTATGGGGAGGAAGACAGAACATTTCTATCTGATTAGATACGGCTGTTTCTAACAGATCCACTGTTATGTGTGAAGAATGTCCATCTAGTATGAGCAGAACAGGTCTCTGAGGAGGAAGATTAGGTATAAACAGCTTTTGAAACCAATAACTGAATAAATCTGAATCAATAAATGAACTCTTACTGCATGCAAATAATGTGTTTGCTGGTGCATTGCCCATCAATGCTTGGCTTACTCTTTGTCCCTTAAAGATGAGCATTGGTGGTAGAACTCTTGCCGATGGATGGATCATGTACTGTACTCACGCCAGTCTCATCCGCATTAAAAATTCGCTGGGGCTTATCCTTAATGTTCAGTTTATCTATGAAACTTCCAAGCTTTTGAAAGTAAGCTGAGATGACATTTGGATTCAGCATTGAACTGTGGGCTGCGCTAAGACCCTCTGGTATGGTTACAGATAAACATGGATGTCGATCTCTAAACCCTTGCCACCAATCATATCCGGCACTTTTCTTATCATTGTTAAAACAATGCTTTCTCCCCGACCTCACGGCTATCTCGTAGGCTAGCTTTCGGACATCTGTGATGGTTAAACCAAACCCTCTTTCCTCCATTCTTAGTATATGCCCGACCAGAGCTTCTTCGTCCTTTATACTTTATAGCAAGTACTGTGGGTATTGTTGCTGGTGAATCCAGGTCCATAGTTTTCAGTCTCCGAAGTAGTGTTGTCCTTGGTATATTATATATCTTTGATGCTTTTAATTTAGACATGCTCCCACTCTTTACTTGGCAAACCGCTTCTATCAGACCCTCTTTTGACCACTTTCCTTGCTTTGGAGTCCATCCTTTTTTCTTTCTAGCCATTTTGCTGAAATAAAAAAGATGTAGGTTGTATTGCTTTATATGAGTGTTTTATACGCTATATATTTAAGACCTGAGACTGGCGTCGATATACAGACTTAAAACCAAGAAGATTGCGGGAAACAAATATTGTTTTACAGACATTGGTTAGTATTAGTAACTTTTTATCAGATTCTCGAACTCTTTGGGATGTATCCAATCCAACATGTTATTGACCGCGAGTCCGCACCCGCCCCCCCCCCCCCCCCCCCCCCCCCCCCCCTATAACCTTTTTGTTAGTTTTAATAAATTTTGATGCACAATACAAAGCAATAGAAAAGCAAAGACACATACCAGTTGTAAAGCAGGTCACGGTTTGACCCCAAGTCTGTCAGCAACAATAGAGTCACGTGACCGTGAAAAGTCTGTGATTGAAAAATCTAAATATTTTCGAGTAAACTAAAAATGATGGGCTGAATTTAAATTTAATAAAGCATCTTATTAAGACAAACACTCGATATGAATATCTAGAATGATCTAGGCAATAGAGTTTTGGATACGCAAACGTCAATGGTTTTTTTCAACACGAAGCGGTGTTTTTTTTTGCCGATTTGTGCAAGTGGTTATCTCCCCTTGATATCACAAGTCAAAAATAAATACCCAGCAAAATGAATAAAAAGGAGTCTACTTTACAAAAATCAAGAAGAAAATAAATGAAATTCGATTTACAACTATGTTATTATAATATTAAGAAGAGATACTTCCCTCCTTTTCAGAGAAGTATTAGAGGTAAAAATAAAAAGACAAAAAATTTGTAAAAATTCAGAAATGTCACCTAGAAAACCTTAAACCTTAGCTGAATATTGATATAAATTAGCTCTGGCTGGTGAAATTTACTTTGTAATCTTTATAATGGGATATGGGATCACTCCTAGTAGACATTTTTTAAAATACTAAGTACTTCTAACAATGATTAATGCAATAAAACATACTTTTACATATATATATATATATTATACAATTTATATAATAAATAAATAGTATTGATCATTTATATTTTATATTCTAAAAAGTGGTACCAAGATTCACAATAGTTTCTTCAGAGAAAAAAAGCCTTTTAGCTCAAGCCTGTGTTTCTTAGGTGAACAGTTAGGAGTCAGTACAGTACTGCCAAGAAAATATCCTACAGAAAAAAAGGATAAGTTTACCAAAAATATTGACAGAAATTCTAAAAAAAAAAAAAAACTTAAAATTATAAGTGACATAATTTTGAATTTTAAAATCATTATTTGTTGTAAAATTCAATTATTAGATTAGCTAGCACAGCTAGTAGCCCTTTCCAAATTTTTCAGGGTATTTTATAGATTATGAAAGTAAACTTTTTGAAAAAAACAAAATGGGGCTTCTAGGCTTCTACTCTTCAGGTTGCCGCATCAGCTGGTATACATATTTATAAACAAAGTATTGTATATTTCACCTTAATAATTGGACATTTATATCACCATTGAAAGTTGGTGGGACAAACTTTGTGCCTTTTACTAAATGATCAATGGATTATTAAATTTGACAAGTATTTGCCATTTGAATAAATTCAATTTTGTAAGAAAACATCTCTATGAATTAAATTTCTTATTTGACTTGATAAACTAGTTTTTGCACTTATTACTGTAGCTTATTTAGTAAAGAAATAATCAAATAAGCAAGGTTTTTTAACTTATATTATAAGTATAATTAACTGACCTTCATTTCCTCTTTCATATGTTTTTTCCTCAAGAAATTTTCATTACAAGGGATTTTCTCTTTCTATTTTTTTTTGTGTTTTTTGTCCATCCATAGGCTATCATTAATTTGTCAGATTTGTTTCCAGTATGAATGAGATTTTCTAAGACGTACAGTTTCAAACGCAATAAAGATGATCTTTGTTTCATTTTTCCAATGTGTAAATTTTTACTATGCACATGACCCTGACATAGTTTGTTAACGTTATATGACGTATGTTGAAAAAAGAAAACAATGTCACCGTCAATTTGTGTAGGGGACCAAGAAGGGTTTTAGTTACTTTGAAATGGAGGTATCGTATTATGGAATTTTGAAAAACCACAATTTTTAATCACAATTTCATTCATATATCTAATAAAATCAGTATTTTACAGTACTTTGGAAACAGGTTCCATGAAAAGAAGTTGAACATTCACTGTTTTAACTAGAAACGCAGCCAAAACCAGCTACAAATTGACATGACTGGTGGTCACTACAATTGTTGTATTAGAGTGAAAAATGATGGCTTCATAATTGTGTAGAAATTTGAAATAGGTTATCCGGTTTCATTTAAGATTTTTACCGTTCTTTTCCGTATTTGGATACGCAAACGTCAAGTTATTTAAATTCGATGTTTTGGCGAACAAAAAAGATGGCTGATAATTTTTAGAACGGACAGGATAAAGTAATAGCAAATAAAAGTTATTTTCGACAATGTTTCTATGTTGTATTGAAACTATATTACTCACAAAACCTACAAACTTTAAAAATCAATTACAATAAAAGCATGACAAGTTGAAAAAATAGTTTAAACGTCAATTTTTTAGCCGATTGATTTCGCGGACTTTTTAACGTCACCGACGACTGTAGCTCCACCTAATTAATTCCCCCTGCTATTGTTGCTGCTAGAGCTTGACGACAACGGACGTTTCCAAGGACTTGCTTTCCAACTGTATCGTATGCCCAAAAAGACCAAACAGCCTACTGTTTGTGCGCATTAGCTAACGCAACTATATTATGACATAAAAACTCTATGACGTTGTTTCCAGCTCCGCAAAAGCGCCAGATTAGAACGTCCAAATTTGCGTATTTCACGGATTCGAATACGATGTACGCGTATATTGGGGAAAAACACGAAACTGAGGTTGCTATAGCGATGAAACGAAGTCGGTAACCCCAATTTTTTTCATCTTATTTTTTTCCCAAAATCATGAAATACCTTCACACGAAATTTTAGGAAAAAATCACTGATAGAATGGAATAGGCTGTTTGGTCTTTAAACGACGATGTTGACGTTGTTCCTAAGAACATTTCAAGATTAAATTTAAGGAATAACAGTACTGTAGTTGAAGAGTTGCCACCGTCAGTTGGCGATTTGACGGTTGCAAATGCAGTTTTATTTGCGACCGTCAAATCAAAATTGACCGTGGCGGTGGCAACTCTTCAACTACAGTACTGTTATTCCGATTCTAATGCATTACAAAAAGAAGTATTACGTTAGAGCTTGAAGAAATGTATAAATTTGAAATAAAATAAAATTCCGCGAAACTTCATGAATGATTTTGGCGCAAAGACGTCATGGCTAAACATGACGTCATACAAATGAAAACTTACAAACTGAAGGTTATTTCGTTACTTCTTCGATTCAAATTTTGATAAAATCACATCAAAACGGCAATTTTTAGGTAGGTGTTATTTTATTTTCGATGATATTGTAATAATGGAAAATTTGTTGATCCATGAATTCAAAATGGCGGGTCCGTCCTTAGTTACGACTGGTCAACTGTGGATTTGACGGTAACTTTTAGCCAATGAAAAAAACTGTTACATAAAAATTGCATTAGAATGCATTTTACGTTAGAAAATGCCGCTGAAAGTGACTGTACAATTTACATTCTTATAATAAGTATTCATTTTTCACAGAGATTTTGAAGTTGCTTCGTTATATATTTTCATTTTACCAAGCCTAGTTGCATTAATAAATGCGAACATTGATATCAAGATTTCCATAGAATTAACAAAATATTTAAACTGTATGCACATTTTAAAACATGTCAAAACTGCCCCCAACAGCACTATTTATCAATAAATAACAACTTGATGTCTTGAATGTATGTGACGGGATTAAAAATTTATAAAATTTATAACCCTTACAAATATACAATATATATACATTGTCGGAAAATATAAAATTTATTTGTATGAGCTTTAGAAATAGGATGAAAAGCGAGGCTCGCCGAGCTTTTCTCCTGTTTCGTAGCGAGTACAAATAAATTTTATATTTTCCGACAATGTACATATATTGTATTTATCCTGCAATTAACACCCGATGCTTGAAACTTTAGTTGTTAAAATCAAAATCATTGTCTTTATTTTTTCAACGGAATCGACATAGTTAAATCGCGGACCGCGAAGAGGACCCCAAAATGAACTGTTACGCAAAAAGAAATATCCACATTACCGCTTGCTCAACATGGAAGCGGGGTAACAGGAGACTTTATTTGTACAAGTACAAATAAAGCAAAAATTTATTTGTGTACCTGTTATTTGTACAAAAGTTGGCTGATTGCAGGATAAAATCAGATAATTTTTCACAAACTTTAGCTTTAGAAAAGGTCGGCGATCCATACGTTTAATTATGTTTTTGAAATTGTAGCATTTTGGGAAAGTATTGGAAACTCTACCCTTTTTATATAGACCCAAAACTACCTTCACTATTTGATTAACAGTCGTCCCAAATCTGATTTTTAAAAATATACTCATTTTGTTGTGACAAGATATATATTTTTAAAGTAAGTTCTTTCGTAAATATATATGGATCAATGTTTTCTGAAAGGAAGTACTATGGACCAGGAATACATTTAATGTACTTTTTATACTATAAATTGTTTTTGTTTAACCGCTTTCAATTTCAACATATAACTGGGTATCGGTGTACACTAAATTTTCTTTGACAATTTTAGACCGCTTTCAACGGGTAATTTTCGGGTTTTTTGTTTCGTTGTTTATAATTTTGTTTTTATAAGTATTAAAAGTAATTTTCCAGCCATGTTTTGTGACGTTCTTTGAAGATAAAAAAAAATAGATCTACTATACAAAAATATTGAAAATTTTCACACAGCTTATTGGTTGATTGATGTGTTGGTGTTGAACGCCACATTCAGCACTATTGGCTATTTTATGGTAGTCAGTTTTATTGGCGAGACCGAAGTGCTCGGAAAGAATCACCAATCCACACAACACACATTTTTTGGGTCATTTACTGGTAAAAAGAAAGAAAAATATGATGTCAATTTATTATACATACTGCGTGTTTAATGAAGTATATTTATCAGTATTTAATATTCTCTCTAACTTTTTTTCTATGAAATATTGTTTGTAAAG